CTGTGGGGTCCTATGGTAAACCCCAGCCAAAGGGTGTGGCACGACCTTCACCTTGACCTTGCTTTTTCTGCAGCCAGAAGGTGCACTGGTGAAGAAGCAGTGAGGATTTGGGGTTAAGGATGCTGCCTGAGGAATTTGGTGACAAATTAAAATTCATTCCTGTGGAAAATTGAGAGTAGATTAGTGGAATTGCCTAGGCTTGTAAGACACTTCACGGATTGAGGTCTTTGGGGTAATTAGTAAATTGTGCATGGAATTGGTAAGCTATTAGTAAGGGGAAGTTTTCTACCCACTGTGTGGCTGGATTGGGGTCCTTTGCAACCATATGCAATCTACTGAGACAGTTCTGACCATCACCTCCTGTCCCCCAGGAGTTAAGCACAAGGGTGGTGCTTTACGATGGGGCACCCCTGCTTTGAAGCTGTACCCCTAAGCCTATGAGCCTCTTCAGAAGGTGAGGACCTCCCCAAGTGCAAAGTACCTTGGACTAGGGAAAAAGGCTCATCTCACCTTAAGTACATATTAAATAAGCTACGTGGGAATAACAGCTTCTCTTACTGCCTCACACTGCTCCCCGCAAACTGCATATTCACAGACACACCACAAAAAAGCAATCTAACAGTCTTCAGTGGCTCTTATAAAATTGGCCTGGGTATGAAATTCTTAAATGCAGTGTGTGAACTGAAATCAGGATCAATAGTGTATCATTGGTGATTGTTTCTGTTTTTTCGGCAGTGACTTCTTAAGCCACCCATTTGAGACTTCAGAAACTCATAGTCATTCGGTTCTTCTTTTGGGTCACACCAGTGAGAGTGATTTTAATATATGCTGCTTCTCAGGAGTCACAGGGTCCCGATGTGCTCCCTCCCATTACGGGGAAGAAAGATGGTGACAAAGGATTCTCCTATAACTTGGGGACAGATCCACTGGGGTCCGGGAACACACACTCTGACACCATTCTCTGTAAACCCAGACATGCTTCTGCTCAATTTAATTAGACAGATAAAATTAGCAAGGAGATTAAGGTAAAAGGAGAAATTAAAAATATTTAAATGTTAGGTGGAATTTACAAAAGTGAATTGAACAATGAGGTACAAGAAGGAATGCAGAGAGACACAGACACATTAGAAACATTCTTCAGATGCCACGCGGCTTAAGTCAGTCCACAGCTAAGGTAAGCGGAACTCTCCCTTGCCACCTCTTGAATTGCAGCTTCCAGGACGTGGAAGAACATTCTCCAGAAACACTTTCTTCCTCCTTCTCTTCAGATGTTACCCAGAGTAATTAATCAGTCAGTATCTTTCTAGAATGGCCCACACTGCATCCAATTCAAACCACTCACCTGTTTCCCATCAGAATTTGCAAACTCTTGAGAGTTTTTCCCCCATTTCATTTTATTTTTCTTCCTACCCTCTCTCCCCACTGAGCCAGTAGGTCGACTGGGCCAACCAATATCACGTTCAGGCCCCTTTGAATTTTCCAGGGCAAAGACTTCCCAGATCTTTCTTGTTTGCATCTGTTCCAAACAAGCACAGTCATTTTAGAACGCAGACGTACATATGCGTGCTCTCGCACACGGAAACAGGTTTTTCTTTTTTTTTTTCTTTTTTTTCCAATTTGTGGTTTCTTTTTTCCTTTTTGCAGAAAATGCAAACAAAAGAAAAACAAGGTTTTCAATTGAAGGTACATCTCTTCTTCAATATGAAGACATTAATTGAATTGGTCAGATCCCCCATGCAGTGGTCAGCAAAGTCCTCTGGCAACTGACAGAATGACATCTGGAGACTCAGGAGCTGGGGTTTGTTTGAAGAAACTTCCCTACACGAGTCGTGAGCAAAGGGAAATGGACATGGGAGAAGGGAGAGGGCTCTTGGGGGGGGAGTACAGAAGGAGAAAAGAAAAGAATGTCATTGGTGAGGAAGAAAATGGAACGCTGCTGTTTCTTCCCGCCACCTCCTTCCCTTCCTTCCTGTGGATGGATGACTCCAGCCCACTGAAGGGGGGAGCTGAGTTTACTCTTGGTCCCACAATGCATATTGGTGTGTCTTCACTTCCATTGAATGTCTCCTTTTCATATTTTTAGTATTATATATTTGGTTTCCCACGGCGATTTAGCCATGCTTCTGTTACTGAGAAATGAAGGTTGACTATTAAGGACTAGGTCCAGTTTATTCTTCAGTGATGTAATGCATTTCTCAGTGGAGAAGCCAATCTCTCCAGAACCTTCCGCAGTGGTCAACCTCTGAGTGGTTCCCCCCTTGAGCCTGGTCCTTTTCCTTCCTCTCCTCCCCCAGAAGATAAGAGTTCTCATGCCATTGCTGTTGGCGACTGACTCATCTGGACCCTCATGGAATGAATGCTGTTCAGGATCTTCTTTTGATGACCTGCCAAGGTGACCCCTATTCTCAGAAGGTCTCTAGGAGAGAAAAAGCAACAAAAGAAGACACTTCAGTGTTAGAGCAGCTTTTCACAGGTCAAAACTCATCATAGAAGGTAAGCTCCTGATAATAGTTGGGCAGGCAAATAAAAGTGTTTAAAATCCAAGGGGCCCAAGTTTATGAATCTTTGGAAAACACCTACCTAGATATTTTCTTACTCAAGCTCACGTTTTCAAAGCAGTGGACCTTGTCTCCAGTGCCCTCCAACTATGACGATCCTGGAAGTGCTGTACGTTGTTCTTCACCTATCAGTTCTGGAGCAGGCCCTTCATCATGTCTATGACCCTAGGTGAACTAGAACTTTTCTCAGCTATTTTGTTTTAAACACTCCAAGCACACACTGTATGGGGCTCTAGTTAGTCTGTAGCGTTTTCTGCCAAAATTAGTGATCGCCCACTGTGATTGAAAAGAGGTGGGGCTTGCTTGGTTTTCCCCTGTTTCCGTTTTCTACCTCTGTTTGAATTTTAATATTATGAATTTTTAAGAAGGGTGATCTCAAAATAATTTTCAAATATCTGCCCAAGCAGAAATCCAAGGACTATGTTTAGGACTGGGATTTGGTGTGGATTAATCTTGGAGCTGTGAGTTTTCATATGAACAAGTTCAAGGCTTATATTTTACTTTGGGGAGACCATGCTTCTTTCCTTAGTCAATAGTAACAATAGATGGCATTGCTTGAGTGCTTCTCATGTGCCGTATACTATCTCATTTATACCTATGGAAGCATCTTGTAAAAATTGACAAACCTTTCAAATTCAATGATAGTAATTTAACAGCCATCATTTCTCGTGTATATCCTACAGGCAGGCAATAGGCAATTAGCCAAGCGCTTTGCATGTGTTATTTCATTTACTTCTCACCACAAAGCAATGAGATGGGCATTATTATTATCTGCACATTTATAGACAAGACAAATAGGGCTCAGAGAGGTTAAGTAACATGCTTAACGTCACACAGGGGGAAAGCAGTGGTGGAGCTGGGGTTCAAACACAAGACCACTTGGCTCTAGGCTACCCTGCAGGGCTGCTCTCAAACTCTTCTAGGTTCCTGACTTCCCCCAAAGCCCCACATCCCTAGCACAGCAGATTGCTTTGTGCACTGGGCACCAGAACCCTGAGGAGGACCCTGAGCTGCACCTGCCTCCGCAAGGCCTTGGCTCTCCTGACCCCCCTCCATTCAGCTGGCGGTCAGTTCCCCAGGGTTGCAGCTGCTTTCACTTGTTCAATTGCCCATGTCCTTTTTGCAAACACTTGTGAGAGGCATCGTTGAAATTTTGATTCACAATCTATTTTATTTAGTTCCTTGTGTTCTTTTCCCATCTTTTATCTCTCAAGAAAGAGACTAAATTGCTTCAATAGTGTGTCGACATTTTTTTACTTTGAACTAAATTCCTTAATTTTCAGTTTCACTTCCCTTTTAGGCTTTTCTTTGTTCTTTTTCATGTGGCTATTCCTGGACTAAGGGAATTACTCCACTTGATTCTTTCCGCTTGTGGGGGATCAGGTGATATCGGCCCCTATACTCAGCCAGACCACAGTGGAGAAGCAGGAGTAGCCCCGTCTTCTGTCCTTGCACCCAGGACCCCAATCATCGGGACCATCCGTGTTAACTCTGCAAGATGGGGAAGCTGCTTTTCCGCTAAGTGCTTCTTTTTTTTATTTTTGGTGTCTGCCAATAATTCATAATGTCAAGGACTATCTTTTTTAGGCATCACCAGGAAATGAAATCACATTTTAAAAAATAAGTTGTGAAGTTTAATGGATCCAAGGCTAGATACACACTCAAGCCATCTCCCTGGAGGAAGTGGAGGTTCCATCATTTCTGGCAAGAATAAACCTCAGAGATGGAGCTAGACTCCAGGAAGAGGGGCTGCAAAGCAGGCGTCGGGGACAGAGGCTGAGTGTCAAGAAGACATCCCTCTGGGGCTCAAGTGCTGGGGGTGGATGACCATCTCCTCCCCTGGGACTCAGCATCTGGCCCACCCCAGGAGGGTAGCCCCACACCCAGCACTGTGCCCAACACAACAGGTGATCAATACGTGTTTGCCAGCTGCCTGGTGGACTGGCTGATCCTCTACCATGGGAAATGTGTGTTTAGGAACCAACCTAGTGCTGTCAGTACACATTGTGGCCTGGGCAGCCAGTCACATCCGGTGTGTGTGTGTGTGTGTGTGTGTATTCAAATTTTGACGGACTCTAGATGTTAGACTAACTTTCGTTTAGTGGTTCACAAACTTGGCTGCATTATAGCATCACCTGGGGAGTTTTTAAAATCCTGATGCCCAGGTCTCACCACATACCAATTAAATCAGAAGATCCAGTGTGGGAGCCAGGCATCGGTACTTCTAAAGATTCCCAGGTGATTCCATTTTGCAGCAAAGTGTGGGCACTGCTGTGGCCCTGGAGTGGACTGGGAGAAGCATATGGAACTGGCAGTCAGGAAACAGGTTTTAGCCCCCACATTGCCACTCATGAGCCCTGAATCTACAGACTCTAACTTCACCGACTTTCTGAGTCTGCCAAATGAAAGCGGTAGAACTATATAAATACCGGGAGTGCCAAGAAAAATATATACAAGTAGGCATTGGTCAATGTTGCTCAAGTAGTAGTTTGCCATAATCAGAAATGTCTGGATGCTGATGGTAACCACTTTGAGCATCTCTTGTAATTGCAGAAGTCAAATGTGACTTGTGTTCATCGTTTGTTATTGGTATGTATTGAGTATTACAATTTTAATAGTTTTTTTTCCTTTCTTGAAATGTGTATATATTTTTTTGGCACCCTCTGTATTTCCCAAACGACAGTTCCATAAAACCCTGCCCCTCAAAAATATGGCTCCACAGTATTTAATAATTTTAAATAGGTTTCTTTATTTCAGGATTTGTCATGGCCTTTACAATGCTAATATGTGTAGTGAATCTCCAAGAGAGAGATAAAGTATGCAGTATTTCCCCAATTTATTTGACCGGGAGACCTTTTTTCCAAGGAGAACCTATTAACATTTCCCAGAGCTGGTGCTACTCAGAACATTCTTGGGGAAATGATGGACTATGTGGGTCTTTAAGACCCTTTCTGGCTCTCATTTTATTTGAATAATTTGAGTTTCTGTATTCCTCTGTAATCCTGTGGGGGCTGCAGACTGGTAAATGATTTGTGGGGGATGGAAATGTAGACTTATTTACAAGTGAGTGCTATCTCGGTATGACTACAACCCCCTCCCCCCCACCTCTGAGAGTGCTGCTGAGTCAGTGCAATGCCTCTTCCTGCTATGTTGTTTAAAGTGCTGGCTGGCTGTGTTCTTTCCATCTGGATGCTCTCTTTGATGGGTTAGGTTTAAAAACTTAAATGGAGGAGAGACTCTCGGTGATTAGGCAAATGACATATGGCTATGACTGAACAACTCTCATTTGGGGCCCAGAATGATCTTGGCCTCCCCACCTCACTCCCAGCCTCTCCCCCATCTTTCCAAGGTGCTTTCCCACCAGCCTTGGCTCTATACAAAGGCAGAGCTCTGCGGCTGAGGTCAGAAATCAGGACTGCTACCACGGGCAATGGCAGGAAGGGAGCCTTGACCCCCACCCATGGGCTGGACAGAGACTATTCTCATCACTTACTCTGAAGTCATCTGGGTGACCAGCTGGAGGGAGGTGAAGCCGGCGGTGAGGAAGCTGTCCCTGTACTGAACCATTTTGATGGCACTGAGCCAGTCGTCCACGGTGGTAAAGGCCGTGAAGTCTGGGATGGAGCGGTCTAGCAGAGGCTGGGAAGGCCTACGAGACAGAGAAGAGCAGGTGACCCACAGCTGCAGCGGTGCATGGAGACAGCCACACTCTGGGTGGACAGTAGACTTCCTGGAGGGCCATATCCCTGACAGGATGAGGGTTACAATGGAGCCCTGAGCTGACTTTTCCTTCCTTACAGAAAATCCTGAGCTGGCAGTTGGCATGGCTTCTCGAGGCCAGGTGGCCAGTCCCTCTGCCACTGGGCACTGTCACATGTCAGTCAGCCCAGACAGGCAGACTGACCAACATGTAGTCTGAATGAAAGGGAAGGCTCACAATGCCTTTGTAAAGAGCTTCATCATCTAAAGATATGGTCCTTTTAAAAATATATACAGTTCACTACAACCTCTCCAAATCTATTCATAACTTTTTTTCCCCTGGTTCCTTCCTCAGTCAATTGAAATAAATTGAACAGAGCAGCTCACCACTGATCTACTCTGGTACGTTATCAAAGCAGACACCCAGGTATCCAATCCCGAAACCAGGGTGCTATCTTGACATCTCCTTCACCCTCAGCACCCATGTCCAATCCTTCACCAAGTCATAAAGATTTGACCTCCAAAATCACTCGAACTCATCCACTTCTTTCCACCCCATTAGTCTGATTTAAGACCCTATCTTCTTTATCATGATTTCTGCAGTGTTCTCCTATCAGTCTTCCTTTATGCATGCTTGTTCCCTCAATGTAAGTCCCATAATGCAGCCCGATGCTCTTTTACAAACGCAGATGTGATCATGTCAGTATACCTCACCCAACCCTGATTCATGTCAAACCCTTCAATGGGTGCTCATTGCTCTGAAAATCAATCCCAGAATTCTTAGCAGGGCCTAAAGTCTCTGAGCGCCTGGTGCTTGCCCACCTCATCAGCCTCAGCGCCCACCCAGTCCTCTCACAAACTGCACTTCCAACACACTGACCCTGTCCTTCCCACCCTCGGGCTTCTGCACATGCTGCATCCTTGGCCTGGAACCCTTGTCTCTCTATTTCCATCTTTTTTCATTCAGTTAATGCATCCTCACTCTTCAGCTCTCAACACTCATCAGAGATGACTCCCTGACACCAGGCAAAGGTATATATGTGTTCTTCAAACACCACACACTCCCTGCTACAGTGGTTGTCAAGATCTTCATTTTGTATTTCTTTGGGTGATCATCTGATCAATGTTTGCTGCTCCTAAATGATTTTAAGCTTCATGGGGGCCGGGGCTGTGTCACACTAGGTTGTTCATTCTACAGTCCCAGCAATGGGCACAGGGCTTAGCAAATAAGCATCCAATAAACTTTGGTTGAAAGGATGAATTAATAAATGAGTTAACACTGCAATGTAGATGATTAATGTACAGCCGACAGATGTTCTGTTTGTTTGCTTATAACAAGTCCAATTGCTTTGTATTTCTTTGTCTCACAGCAATCAGGGCCTTTAATCTGCTAGTATTTAGGTTGGCCAAAGTTGCAAGTCTGCAGCTCCACCTGCCTAGCAGACTGGTGTGGTTAACAGAAAGGGTGCCTTCTGGAAACAGACTGTCCAAAAGTGGGGCCTCATACCAGTCAGATCAGATATGCTGAAATATTAGAGAGCCTGGTGCCTAGCCCATCTAAAGCCACCTGAAGGAGGAGACTCAGACAGATTTCTTAACATCTGTCTACAGCCCATGCTGGATGTAGGGGACATTTTGGAGAGAACCAAGGGAAAAAGGAAGAGAAGAGTCTTGGAACTTCTTCCATTAGTGGATAAGCTCAGCCATCTTACTCTTGCTCTCAATGGACCAAAAGGCTAGAAGCTTTGCTGTTGGCCTTGCCCCTGGCTATGAGACCACCCACACCTTGGAACCACCTCGTTCCAATAGACTCACACAGCGGTGATGGTTGCCACAGTCTTGAGACTTGCCGGGTTCCGGATCATCTTGTCCAAGGTGTTGACAATCTCTGCAAAGCGAGGCCGGCTGTTACGGTCCTTCTGCCAACAGTCCAGCATAAGCTGGTGTAGTGCAGCTGGGCAGTCCATGGGTGGGGGCAGCCGGTAGTCCTGCTCAATGGCATTGATGACCTGCAGTGACACACATGGAATAGGTGTGATTGGGTGACAAACCACCAGCTAGTCATTCACAAATTAGCCCCTGAGGATGGAGTCCCATGACCCAAGTGCCCTCATTCTGTGCTCATATTACCTCCCACCATAATGGATTTTACGTGTATTTGGCTTTTCTTCCTAGACTGTGGGCTCCTAGAAAGCTGGGGACACATCTTATTGCCTTTGCGTCCCAAGCACCTGATGCTGGGCCTGACACACACTAGATCTCTGTAATTGTTTGTTGAAGAATGAGTTGGTGAGTGGTTTAAGCATCTCCTCTCTTTACGAAGACATTGACCCAATTCTGTCTTACTGGCAGCTGGTGGCACCAGGACAGATGAAACAGTGGCACATGGGAAACATAGTAAACCCACTATTTATAATGGACACCCACAAAAACCTGTGGTGGCCTTATCCTTAAACTGCTTAGGGGAGAGAAATGAAGGGAAGGAATCAGCATTTGAAGGGGAGGCGATTCTATGCCAGGGACCCTCTGGTGCTTCCTAGGCATTATTCAAGAGGCAGCAACAGGAATTGGGTTGAAGTTACTTTGGTTAAATAAATTGGTTCAGTACAATGAAAATGGTCAAAATAACAAGGTGATCCAAAATAAATATTTCCAATCAGGTTTTGATAATTTTGGCAGATTTCAGGGGATAGTTCTGTAAAGGTTTTAGGATCATCAAGTACTTTTGTCTGTTTTTCAGATTGTGTTTTTCACCCTTTACTTCTTAATTTCCAATTCATTTAAATCAATTATGCCTGCTCTGTGCTTTTTGTAATAGCAAAAATAATTGTAAACAGCCCAGTGCTTAAACATATGAATTTATTACGGCACACCTGTAACACAATGGAAGGCCTGGAATATAGTGCAGGCCTTAAAGTGATGTGGCAAAAATGGACCTATTGAAATGGAAATATACTCACGTTGTAATATTAGGCAAAAGAGCAGGATGCATAACTGCGGGCATGGTATAATCTTACTTTTGTAAAAAACAAAAATCGAAACAAAAAACAATAATTATACACATGCAGAGAAAAGACCTCGGAAGGATGTGTACAATGGAGGTAGCGGTGGTTGCCTCTGGGCAGGTAGCAACATGAATGCTCTTTATGTTTTTCTCTTTGCTTGTTTGTTAGTTTATTTTCTGTGATAATTAGGCATTGATTTTATATTAAAATAAACAGTTAAAGCACCTTAAACAACAAAGGAAATAATTTGGAGCTCAGAGATTTTCAGGTGTTTTTGCCTCTAGTGTAAAAAATGTCAGATTCATTTCAACTGATTATTCTTGTGGGGGTTTTTTTTCTTTTACTTTGTGACTTGGTCAGAAAGTGAATATTTTTAATCAGTTTATATTTGTACAAATTCTATGCACAGTATAGGACATGAGATGGGGCATGAGATAATATGATAACCTAAAGTCATTAGAGATAATCAAGGTGCATTATTCCTTCTATTTAATGTGACAGAAAAACAAACAAGCATTCAAACCATATCAATAATATCACTATATTAAAAAACCAGTGACTGGGAACATTCACGTTTGAATAATACACTGCACTACTGATAAATTTTTCTCTCTGCCAGACTGCTGTCAATCAATTCCATACTATCCTCTTAAGAGGACATTTTAGCTCCATTTTTTTTCCCATGAGGAAATGGAGGCAGAAGCAGTGAAGTGGCTTGCTTGAGGGCACACAGCTAATAAATGATAAGGCTGGGAATAAATCACAGGGGTGTCTGATTTTAAGTTCTGAACACCTTGACGCCCACTTTTCCTAGACCCCTGTCCGGCTGCCATTGTAATCTCAGCCTGGAGAACAGCCCTTAGAGCTGTTTGATGTCCTCAGGCAGGAAATAGGGGTATGGGGCTAAACCAAGTAATCCATGAGGCTAAGCAGCTGGGCAGCATCCCCAACAGGCTGGCTCATAAACTGGCACCCTTTTCCAGCTCCTTCCTGGCAGCCAGATTGAGGGGGCTTGTCACAGAGTCCCCATCACTGTGGAGACAAGTGGGCTAACTCATTCAATGGTCCCACAAGCTCTTTCTAGGTTCCCTAAGGACAAGCTAGGAGGGACCAGCAGTAAGGGCTAGTCTCAAAATTCAGCTTCTCACAGTGCTAGGGGTCCCTCAAATCTTCCAGTGCAGGGCAGCTCATGTTCCTCTAAACTGCTGGCATCTCTGCTCAAATTATTTGATGTCTGAGCCCAACCTACTAATTTTCGCCACTGACAAGATTACGCTGTCATCCGCCCTTAACAAGAAGGAGCACTGGAGTGAGAGCCTTTGTGTGGGGGCTCAGCTCCATGGTGTGACCAGCTGACCAAGCACTCCTGGCAGGGCTTCGAGAGACTGGGGGACCCATGCAGGCACCAAGTCTTCTGCTTATAACCTTTAGACTGAATGCAACTTAGCTGCCTGGCCCTTGTGTCTTCTGCAGGCCACCTCATTGGAGATTTGGGAAGACTGTCCTGGCATTTGTTTTTGTATTTCCTGTTTGTGCTGACTTTCTTTTCAAGAGAAGCACTGAAGGTCCACCAGGAGAGCAGACCTGTGTGTTGTGCTGGTGAGGGGATGGCACTGTCATTGCGGGCCCAGACCTTGGAGGCCGGGGTTCAAATCCTTTTTTCCATTTCTTATTAGCTCCAGAAAATTGATAGAGTCACTTGACTTCCTAAAACTGCACAGATGGGGTTATTACAAAGATTAAAAGACATAATGAGGTGATGCATATTGAGCACCGCACATGTGAATAGGAAGAACCCCTGTATCACGTGGAAGCCATCATTTCTGCCATGACTACTACAGTAAATGTCACCTCAGCAAAGAGGGTTGCTGTTCTGCTGGCCATTTGTAGGTCCAGGAAGATAGCATTTAAGCCCCTTGCCATGCTCATGTCTACAAAATGGGACTTGATTCCATTTGCCGTTTCTTCTAGGTAATTTTGTTATTGCTCGAGTTAATATTATTGGGAGTATTGATGCTTCTTTATTTAAAAAATTTTTTTATTATTATTATTTTTTATTGGGGAATTGTGGGACGGGAACAGCATTGGGGAATCTGGGAAGGGGAACAGACAACTTGCTGTCCTTTTGTTCTTCAGTCTAGTTGTGGAGGACGTCGCTTCACTGGCCCATGTTGGTATTATCATTGCATTATTCCTGGGTGAGGCAGTCGCTCTCCGGCCATTGGACAGCCGCTCACAGCAGCTCACGAAAGCACACGCCAGCTGCCCAGCTGCCGGGCAGCTCCACTGCAGCCTACACCATCGCCGGCGACTCACGACAGCCCAGCTCCAGGTCGAGCTGTTGTTCACCATCTTAGCTGTAGAGGGCGCAGCATCACTGGCCCTCATGTGGGATCTGAATCAGGGCCCTGCTGCTCAGAGCTGGCGTCCCAAGCCAACTAACTCCTAACCAACGAGCCACTTGGCTGGCCCGCATTGATACTTCTTTTACTTATGGGGGGAAAAAAAAGCCTTTACCGTCTACTCCAAAGAAAAAAATTGATGTTCATTAATTGATGTGTACATAGCATTTATCTACTCAGATCTTTCACTGAAGTGCTATGCCTTTGGAGAATTTTGTTCTCTTTTTAAGGATTTGGGTGTTTTCCAATTTTTCTGAGTACATATAATTTATAATCAAATTAAAACATTATTTCAAAAAAAATGATTGTCTTCTAATGGGGCTTTGGGATCATTCTCTATCATACCTGCCTTGCTAGTAGGTATGAAAACAGGGAGGAGGCATGGAGAAGCACCTTCAATCTGGCCATCAGATGGCTCTACACACCAGAGACCATGTTTGAATTATGTGGAAAGTATGGCCCAAGGTTGGGGGCATAGAGCGTCCTACTGAGCAAAACTGAAAATCGGAGTGAGTCCTGAGCCCCTTTCCTTGTTCCAATAATAGGATGAGATGAATAGATGTTGAAAAGATTGGAGGTTAGAATGAGATCAGTTTCTAAAGAGAAGGTGAGAGTGAGGGTGTGGGCCATGAGAGAACCAGCCTGTAGGCAAGTGTCACTAGAGCAGGCTGCTGGCTCTCTTTGAATGGTCTGCAGCAACTCTTTGAGCCATCCTGAAGCAAATGCCCTGAGGCCTAAAGAGACAGGGATGGGGGGGGGGGTGAGGGGCTGCCTTTGTTCACCTGTACTCAGAGATGGCAGGTGTGGGGGTTAGGTGGGGACGGGAGCATGTGGTGTGACCGCAGGTGCTGTGGGCACCTGGTGAAGTGACTGGAGCTCCTCTGGGAAATGAGTAGGGCCCTTCCCCTTGCCCTGAAGTCATCAGCGGGGGAGCTCCTGATGCCCCCAGACATGCATTTTACCATTAGCGACTCGGGCAGCAGTTGGTACTTGCAGAGTGAAGTGGAGGAGCTCAGAGCAGCGGAGGAACCAGGGCAGAGGGGGTTAAGTTAAGCTCTGATGTTTCAATAAAACAGCAGCTCCTCTCCACAGACACTGCCAGTCTCATTATCTCTGTCAATCAGATCCAAGCAGCAGAACTTCCAAGTTCTCTCTCTGGCTGACAAACTCTCTGTACATGTTCAAAGACCTTCCTGGGCTCTGGAAGCCCAATTACCAGCACTCCGACTTGCCTCTACAATTCTCTTCCTCAAAGCCCTTCAATTGTCATCTGTAAAATCCGTTACTGCCACCACCTCAGTGCTTTCTGATAAGTGGGGCTGCCGCCGAGCAGCTGGGAGCCCCTCTGAGCTCTCTTGCTGGCCAGGTCAGAAGATGCTTTCTGAATGGGCAAAAGTCACCTTCCACAGAGAGCAGACGTGCACTTGGGACAATGCTTAGGGGCTTTATTTGGAGAAATGCAACAAAATTAGAATAAGCTGCTACTTTGCAGATGGCCTTATTCCCTTTGAGGCACAGCTCAAGTGTCAAATGTCTGGGAAGCCTTTCCTTACCTCCCCCACTTAAATGCCCCCACAGCCCTATGTATGTGCCACTGGAGTATAACCCCCCCCCCAAATAGAACCAGCAAGCACAATACTTGGTCATAGTTAGCACACAATGAGTGTTTGTTGAATAAATGATTTAAACCTTCTAGAAGTTTAATATCAGAAATTCCATTTGTTTTCAGCACAGGTGAATGCATTTGCTAAGAATATCTTGAATGTCAAATCTTGCCTGTCAGACAGTTTCATAATCCATTCTATGTGTGCTGAATTGTTCTTAATCAGATTAAAGTCTCTGGGCAGGACAAAATGGGTCTGCTTTTTCTGGCTAACATTTATTATTCATCTAGCTGATGGTATGGACAGAACCGGGGTGGAGCTGATTTCATGAAGCAGCCTTGGCATTAATTCCGATACTTACCGATTCGACATGGTACAGGAGCAGAGGCGAGGCATGAATAATCATAGATAATAGAGGACCCAAACACCATACATGGTTGGCACTGGGATCTGGTTAAGGATGCAGCCATTGTACCTGCTCTGGGCTGAAGCCGCCCTCCCCATGGGAGCCGGGAACATCGTCATAGCAGCACCCCGCTCCTCTTTTGTCTCACTGGAAAATGTTTTCTGGGCTCCCAGATCACTCTCCATCTTCTGAGCAACTGCCATGGCTCTAAGCTTCTGGCTGGATAGCGGGCTGGCTGAGGGCGGACTTCTTAAGGTTACCAGAGCCTCAGAGCTCACCCAAGCGTGGAGATGCTGACAGCGGGGCTGGTTGCCCAATCTAGAGATCTGGATTGAGGACAGCCCTGCCTCTTCTTGCTTGTAAATTATTAATAGGAAAGATAGTAAGTGCCCCCGCCCCCAAGGTGATGGGAAGAGCAAGCAGAGAAAAGAGTTATGCAGGCTTTGCAAACAGTAATCCTCTTAGCTCCAAGGCGAACATACATATGCATTCAAAATAAAAAGGAGGCATGCTCCCAGGGAACAGTCCAGGGTCTAAGGCAGTGTGGAAATCCAGACAGGACTTTTGATGGGGGCCTTATCAAAGCAAATCATCCTTAAAAGGCTTCCAACCTTTTAGTAATTAAGGAGCAAAAAGCCCCATCAGGAACACCCCCAAAATGCCTCTACTTCTAGGATCTCAAATGACCCTTCTTCCTTTTCCGCTCTTGTTCCTTGAGAGCAGCCTGGAGGGGGGTTGATGACTTTCACTCGGACACCTTTCACTCGGACACGGTCCCATTCCTGTGGTCCGTCTGAATCTGACCAGCTTTGGGAAGCTTCTCCGCTCCTCCTTAACTGACTGGCTCCTAGAAGGGTGAATTCTTAGGAAAGCAGGGCCCTTTACAATTCCTCTTTTTCAAGCTGACGGGTGCGAGTCCCAGAGGCAGAGCCAGCCTGGACGCAGCCCTCAAACCAGCGCTATTTCCCCTCTCTCATGCATGGTGAAGGAGAACGCACAGGCTGGGTGCTTTGAAGCAGGGTAGCATTTTCTGCTTCATTTTGGGCCTGATCTATTCATGGTCCACAACCATTTAGGACCAGCCCACTGCCTCCTGGGTTGGCCTGGGTGCCTTTACAGGGCTTGGGGACTGTCACATCTCTATGCCGGGCTCTTCGATGGCTTGAAACATTGGTGCCAAGGGGGTCTCTGGATCCCCTGCCCTGGACACCTCAAGTTCAGGCTATGAGGCCCTGAGCTGAGAACAGTTAGGAGGGAGCACTTGGCATGCCATGCCTGTGGGACCCTTTGGGTGGGGGGTTGTGGCAACCAGGTGCTGCTGACACTCACATCTTGGTTGGACATATCCCAGTAGGGTCTCTCTCCAAATGACATGACTTCCCACATGACAATCCCATAGCTCCAGACATCGCTGGCAGATGTGAACTTGCGGTAGGCGATGGCCTCTGGAGCCGTCCATCTCACGGGAATCTTCCCTCCCTGGAAGAAAGAGAAGACCGGTCAGCCCGACCACTGGGTTTCTAGTTGACGGCAGGTGGAAATAAACTTGGCACACGCGACGTTCCACTCCCTTGCTCCCATGTCTCGTGAATTAGGACAGCTAGGATAGTCCATGCCCCATGAGCAGGCCTCCATTACTGCACCTATGTTTCTCAAAAAGGATCTGTGTGGCCTGTGCTGGTCTCACACCACATGTGGGCACACCGCATGTGAGGTGACGGCTGGTACCGAAGCTTCATTGGCTCCCTCCCTACAGTTCTCTGCATGCTGATGCTAATGTCCTTGCCGGGTGGGAGGAGAGGATGTAACTGTCGTCAATGCACTACAACATGAAACTCCATAATATGCAGGATTGGCTACATGGGCTTCATGATGCATGAGTGGCTGTCTTTGTTCCACAGCATTATAAAAGTCACAGCATTTGGGTCAGGAGGAGGCAAAAGAAACAAAAAAGGAAGAAAGCAATGAGCAGTGCTTCCTGGGGGAACTCCTACTACAAGATCACACAGTGCTGCCCCCTGCCCCATTTTCCTTGTGCCCCATTTCTGGGAGTGGGGGAGATTTCTTCACTCTGCGGCCTGCTGACAGCCCTGGGCTGAGGTCCCTGTGGACAATGGCTGTCCTCCCTTCTCTTCTTCTTGCCCTGCAACCCCACCCTGGAAATATCCAATGCGGCCCTCAGCTTGTCTACCAGATCTTGGCCCATGTTATTTACCTAAGGGATGATACCCATTCATTCATTCATTCATTCACCCTGTCAACAAATAGGCAAGGAGCTCTGCTTTGTGCCAGGTTCTTTCTGAGAAGCTGGTGTCCCAGAGATGAGCTGGTCCTATCCTCAGGCTGTGCACAGGGGTGGCAGGCAAGGAAAGGGAAACTTAAAATGTATTGTTGACAGATGGAAAGTGACGAGTGCGAGGCCAAGGGGGGATTCAGGGTGTTCTGAGAGCCAGAGGAGAACCCCTAACACAGGATAGGGGTAGGAAAGGTGGCCAGGAGCAGTCCGAGGGGCCATTTCCTAGATCTTTTGGCCGGGTGTGGATACCAGCGCTGCCCCATTCCACCTGTGTGACCAGGGGCAAGTTACCTAACCTCTCTGTGCCTCGGTTTCTCATTGGCAAAATGGGGGTAATGATCACAACTACATATTCAGGTTGTTGTGAGGGTTAAGTGGGTTACTATCCATATAATGCTTGAGACAGGGCCTGGTGTAGAGGGTAAAAGCGATCCACATGCTATTATCTCGTTATGCGCAGTCCTGGAGGACCAGGAGAAGGTAATCAGGCAAACTGATGAGAGGAGGAATGTCTGGGCAGAGAAGCATGTGCAGGTGCTGGGGGTGAGAGAGGATGGTAACTACCAGTAATCCAGGGTGGCTGAAGCCCGGGTTCTGAAGGGGAAGTGAAGGGAGATGAGCAGAGGGCAGTGTCCACTGCAGAACACTGATGTCACCTATAGGGATGAAGTACAGGCATTCACCAAGGCTGCCCTCCAAAAACTCATCATCCTGCAGGACAAATACGCGCCTCATGTTCAATTCTTCATGCAAATACCAGGATCTCACTTTCACGGCCCTTTTGCGATGCCTGGACTCTGCCTCCAGAATCCATGAAACCTGCAGCTGCCTCACTCCCTTCTCATCGGCCTCATGTCTTGGCTGAGGGAAGCTATTTTTATACTGACCATTCTCACGATCTGTTCAGATCACCAGAGGTACATGTTGGAATTTAGCAAAAATACCTTAAAAATGTATAAATGGTTAATCTGAGCACCAGCGAGAAAGGAGCAAACTGCAAAGTGTATTTTTATCTGGTCTCCTACCAGGGCCTGGCAGGTACAAAGGTGGACCTCCCCAGGCACACAACCCACTTTCTGCAATGATGGTTCTGATTTTCCCTGAGGAGGATGACAGGCTTTTCTGGTGGGAGATGTCCTCAGCTCAAATGCCAGCAACTAGAAACGTGACAAATCCTGGAGGGCAGGCTTGAGCTGCTGAGCAACAGGACACTCTGTTCCCAACCTCCCAACCCCCGGATAGGAACAAATTTACTGGTTTTATCTACATGGGTACCATGTAGCTGGGATACATGGGTACCACATGTACCATGTGGCTGGGAAAAAAAGTGGAAAATGCACCCAATGAACCAAGATCTGGAGTCCAGGGTCCAATAACTCAGGAGCCCAGTGCTGTATGTCGCCATTAGGGGAGGGGGGTGTTGCCATACCTGGAGAGGGTCTGGCCCTAAGGAGAGGAGGGGAAGGGTTCTACTCGGATTAAGTGAGGTAGGAGAGAGAAGAAATTTAACTAGTGTGACTGTGTGTGTGTGTGTGTGTGTGTGTGTGTGTGTGTGTG